ATCGGAATGGGTAAAAACCGCATGAACATGGTCAATATATGTTCGTCTGGAAAGGTCTAACCTTCAGTCAGAATCGATTAGTGAGAACAGTTATGTAACGCAGTATCGAGCAAACGCGTTTGCAAGTCTTGGAAGAGAGAACGACGCCAGGCGTACTGGTCCGCGTCAGCCGTGCAATGTCGGCTGCCCGACTCACACTGGGTGGCGGACAATGAGCGGAAGAAAATGACGACACTTCTAAAAGAAGTGTCTTTTAGTTGAGCTCCTTACGACATCAATTTCCATGCTAAGAATATAACCGGGCGTACACCTGAGCTGCGCGATTTTTAGATTGATGAGGAGAACAGATTGGCCCTCACAGCAACGAGTAGTGCCGCAGTCTGGTGGTGGAACTGGAAAGGTAAGGGTAGATGGCGTTGTAGTCTCCATAGGCTGCATGGGGTTAGCCCTGCCGTTTAAGCGGTGGCCAAGGGGCGGACGAAAGGTAAGACGCTTTTGAAATAAACACCTTTGAAATATGTCACTTCATCGATTTTTTGGATCGATAAAAGATGTCGATGAACATTTGCAGCACCATGAACTGGTGCTGGAAATTGGTGGCGGTGCTAGAGGTGTAGGTAAATGTAAAATTTCTATTTTGTGTGTTGCTGTAACTGTTAATTTGTCCAGGGAACATCCCCAAAATTATGAAGGTGAAAGACATGTTCCTGTCTAATGTTTGAACAACAAGAAATCACCGCAGTCGGCGCAGTGACGCTCATTTCAGACCCCTGACTGAAATTTGGTGGAGGGCTTCTTTCGGTACTGGAGGCACTGACACAGGGCTCTTCCACTGTGTCATAATGAACTCTCGTCATAATTTCTCATATATTCTTTCACTGTCAAAGGGCACAGATCAACGCAAGAGGCCCTCTCGCCTTCGGGGTCCCATCCCTGTCTCCGCTTAGCATATGTTTCCCTGACCGGCTAGAGGCCCCTTCCTGATACAGTACCTCCTGTAAGGGACCGTGGGCCCCTGACCGATGCGGCGGCCTCTCATCGTTTTAGGGACCCCGACCAATACAAATCGCGGACACCGACCTTCTCTCTGATTGGAAAACGGGCCCTGAGTTCCAGAACGACACAAAGCCAATTCTTCGGTACTGGGCAAGGCCATGTAATAAGGTATGATCATCTGGGGATTTTTCCGGCACTTTCCCTTCGCTATCACAGTTACGTCACGAAGTCGCAGCCTGGCATCACCGCTCCGCCTGCTTTATCTTCGCGTCTGCTACACCGGTGCACGTACTAACCAGTGCATCTGGTGATCGCCACAGGGCGCTGCAAGAAGTACTATGAGGAAATATGAAAGGGAGATTTTTTGCCACGCTGATTGCATAACAGCGAACATAGGCCTAGGAGCCGGGAGCCTGTGTGCCAAGGCACTCCCACTTGCTGAGGATGTTAAATATTGAGTCTATGGCGATGTATTGAAGTTGGCCAGCCTACAGCTGCTGAAATGCAGACTGGCGAGCCTGCCCAAGATCCAGCCACTTCCAAAAGAGGAACTGGCCGGCACCAGGATCATCATCCGAACTGTCTCGCCGAATCTCAGCACTATGCATCATGACGCGCCGGGTTGCACTGGTGTGCGATGGAGGCAGTTTGAAACGACGGAAGTGGTGTGCTGCCTGGTAGAACATAGGATATTGTGGACATTGCACATTGCATCAACTATGACACGAAGCCTCCGAAGGTCATGGCGCGTGGCGTATATCCGTTACGCCACGCAGCCAGTTCATCGAACACACGTTTGACTCAAAATTCACCGTATTTTAATAAAACGATTCTTGCGCCCAGCACACATTTCATGTGCACACTTAGCGAGGACACAAAGCAAACGGCGGGGTGGGGGGGGGGGGGGGGGGGCGAGAGCACAAGTATATATTTTTCAGCTTAAACCTAGGGTTTTACGATATGATGACCAGTCTGAAACAGCCCAAACGTTTATCTGCAAAAGAACCACCCATGCCTCAGACAGACACACAAGCACGCACGACAAAGAAGGCATGAGAATGCTCACTTAAGGTCACTTACGTTTGCTCACATAAGCACAACTATGTTCACTTGACGCTGTCCACCTGATGTCGCACCTGTTTGGCTGCGCGCCTGGCAGCAGCTCGCTCAGCCCCAGCCTGATTAAGCCATCCGAGGCGCAGATGGATGCGCGTCGTCACCAGCTTCTGAGCAATCCGCTTGTCCAGCGCAGAACTTTCTCAGCAGGAGCTTTGTGGGGCGGTCGACGATACCAATGTCTCGGTTCGTGCCTCGGCCCATCACTAGCTGGAACACGTTCTCGAAAACCTCGACAACGCTCGTCCAGGCCGGCAACGGTACCATCAAACCACCTTGGCTAATCGCGTGTATCCAGTTGTCTGGCACACGGCTGGGAAGTGCTTCTCGGGTCGACAGCCCCATATTTGGATCGAGGTGTTTGCACTTGGCCGCCGCGAAGCCGGCAGCGAGGGTCAGCACCCTGTGCTCGATGTTAACCTCGTCCATCTAGTCGCCGCGGCGGGGCCATTTTCGGTCCTCTCGCCGTCACTGCCATGGAGCTTGTCTTCGCCCGACTCCTTGACTCCGTCGTCCTCGCCGGATTCGTTTAGGGCGGGCGCTGGAGGCCTCGCGGCTGTTTGCTGGTAGGCGGGCTCCACGTCGTCCGTATGCCCTGCCACTTCCACCACGGCTGGATCTTGGACCTACGACATAACGAAACACAGTCATTTCTACGTACCTAGCAGGCGCACCAATCAGACACTATTACAAGTCACCAGGGTTGCTTCTCATTGCGGTAGCAAAACGTATTGGACCCGTACGTTCCCTTTCTTCCGTTGCCGCATGCTTGTTTTTATACACAGCCACATTTGTTTTGGTCCAGGGTGACATAATCCGAGCGGGTAAGAGGGACGGTCAATGGTCGATGAGTACTGCCCTGCTTGCACCATTCTGATATCTACCGCTCCTGGCCATAACCACGGATTTGTCTGATGGCCCCGTTTCATGGTCCCATTTCAGTGCATTGACTGCCCCAGGTGGGGGAGGGGGGGGGGGGTGAGAGGGGGTGGCACCGCCATTACTGTTTTCCGACGCAGAAATCACGAGAAGAGCACGGCCCTGAGCACCCCCCCCCCCCTCCCTCCCTCCTTCATTCGTCTATGCTCGTGAGGTTGAAGATCTATGGCTTAGGCACAGCAGCAGTTTTTTACCATGACATTACTGTATGCAATCCCGGACTTTGGTGACCAGGCAAATAGCTTTTGTTTGAAATCTCAGACACTAGCATGGACAGTGACACAAATATTCCAAAAGTGGTTCATGAGTAACAAGACTCCCATATAGGCGGGCGAGCATGTACGGCACGCAGCGGAAAGGGCTGCTTAAGGCACCAGGGCAAACCAATACTGTTAGCTCATTGATGCGCTAGGTACTGTACCTATTAGCGGTTGTGGGGTTTGTTAGTCAGTTCACAGTGTATAGACGTGTTGTCAATGGGGCTGGGACTCGCTCGTGCAAACTTGCCCTCCCCCGTCGCAAACCCTGGCTACGCCCCTGACACTTACTCCCTTCGTCCGTGTAGCATAGATGGCTGTGCCGCTTGTGTGGTAGTCAGGCCCCACTTCGTAAACAAGATTATGCTTGGAAAGTCTCGTTTGAATCTCGTATTTTAGTCTACAATCTGCACAGAGCGGCATAGATTGTGCATCCATTAGACTGTGAATCGGGTTGAGATTTCTGCATAAAGCAGACGGTAATTTTCCTTTAAGCACACGCATACCCACTTCGGCGTGTCGGCGATGTTCAGTTGCATAGAAGGAACTGCACTTGGTCGAAGGCATGGTTTAAGACTGGGTGTGGGACTGGTCTTAAGCAGATGGCCAGGATCAGTCATGATCTTGAAAATGATCAAATCAGATTAGCACATTCTCCACAATTATAGTTAGTCCAAGGGCAACAGTGCACTCATGTTTTCACGACAGTTGGATCGTTTTTTTCAGAAATGTAAAAAACTAAAGTGCCTTCATCACGCCGTTTCACATTCTTGCAAGAGGCCGCCTCACAGGATGGCATCTTGCCAAGGCTATCTAAGCATGTTGCTGCCAAAAACCCGCCTTTGATGCTCACTCTTGTCCAAAGCTCGCACACCACTTCGAATTTCCCCCACCCGCGACATAATAGCACGCACCGAGGTCACATAACAATACAAACTTGGCGCCACGCTGCACGATGATAGACTGGACCAACGCCCTATAACAACAGACAGGACAGGACAGCACCGACCACAGCATTTCTGCGCGACTACTGCTTTCCAAGCGACGCAGTTGACGTTGCCATGCAACGCCGCCGCTCAAGGCAGTACGGCTTTGTGACGTCACCGCCTAACGTTAAGGAGCCGCCCGCCTGACCAATGTCTCAAGCTGTGATGATGGCCCCTCGGTACTGGTGATGCCTGCCCGACATAAAGGCTCCCATCGACTGAGGATGCCTCCAATCGGTGCAAGGAATCCGTCGACTGATACTTAGGGTCCTCCTGGAATGGACGTATGGCACGCGGCTGCAGTTAAGATGTTTCATCGCATGTGGTTGCAGTTATGTAACAGCGACAAAATCAGCCGGTCCAAGCGGACGGAAACTTTTAACACAGTCCCAAACTGTCTAAGTTTAAAGTAAAGCTGCGAACCGGTATCTTGCCGTAAGGCGATATCGTAATGTAACGATGAGGCGAGGCACTCATGGGGCTTGTTCAGCCAATGCAAGATGCATGGGATTTTGACTGGAATTCCACTAATCCCAAGGGATGAAACGCTGCCGCCGCCTCTGATTTTTGCGCCGTTCGCCACCAGTCATAAACGTCGCATCGCGGGGCGGCCAGATTCCGCTGGTGCATCGAGCGAGCAGCAGCCGCAGCGAGCTCCGCGACCTACGTAGTCGGCTCTGTTCCAACCCCGCTGGTAGGACCGGCCATGACCAACCCGTGCAGCGTGACCATCCGCTCCTTGCTGCTGATCCTGAGTGCGACGCTGGCCCCGCCGGCGGCGGCGGTTGACTGCCAGCGCTCCGGCGTGGCCAACTACACCACCACCTGGAGCGTAGGCGCCAGCGGCAAGCTCACCGTCGTATTCCTGCAGACGGCGGCTCGCTGGACGGTGCGGGTAAAGTTTTCCCCTGTCGTCACCTCGATGGTAACGTCGGTGGCGACGGCCGAGCGACAGTTGGCCACCACCTACGAACTGACCAACAAGGGCTACAACGCGGCCCAGTCGGCCGGTAGCTCGCTGGTGATCGACTTTAGAGTTGGTTTCGCGTCGGCACCGGTGCCGCAGGTGGTGAGCGTGGCCACATCGGGTGCCGAGCTCCGCTCCGGTGGCTCCACCACTGTCACAACTACCACCACCACCACCACCGCCGCCACCACTACCACGGGCAGCAGCAGTTTGCCGTACAACTACGCCGTGGTCCTGCGGAAGTCGCTGCTGTTTTACGAGGCGCAGCGGTCCGGCCCGCTGCCGGCCGACAACCGGGTCCTATGGCGCGGCGACTCTGCCCTGGGAGACAGCGGCGACGACGGCGAGGACCTCACCGGGGGCTACTACGACGCCGGCGACCACGTCAAGTTCGGCTTCCCGATGGCCGGCATGACGACCGTGCTGGCGTGGGGCGCGCTCGACTTCGCCGACGGGTACGCGGCGGCCGGCCAGACCGGCTACGTGCTGGACGCCATCCGCTGGGCCACGGACTACTTCGTCAAGTGCCATGTGGCGCCGACCACCTTCTACGGTCAGGTGAGAGGCCGGGCCGGGGCGGCTTGTGGTTGGGGTGACCTCTCTGGGAGCAAAAGATTCCCCTGCATCGTATGATATTGCCCGCGTTGGCCTTAGAACTAGAGGCACGTGACATATATCGCGTAACTGCCCGCTAGTCTGTGTTGCGTAATGTCTGTTACGGTGTAGGTAAGAATGGATTCGTAGCTTTAGCATGAAAGCATATCAAAATCCCCATCCGCATTCAAAGGTCAAGCGCCAGGGTCGCCGGTGGCCAGAACTCTGACGCCGCACGCCAACCATGCCAGTGATTAGCCTGCCGGTACTCCGCCTGCGCAGGTAGGCAACGGCAGCATCGACCACGACTGGTGGGGTCGGCCCGAGGAGATGGCCATGCCCCGGCCGGCCCACAAGATCACCGCCTCGACGCCCGGCTCGGAGCTGGCCGGCGAGACGGCCGCCGCCCTGGCCGCCGCCTCGCTCGTGTTCCGGCCGTCCGACCTGAACTACGCTGACACGTTGCTCGCCCACGCCCGCCAGCTGTACAGCTTCGCCGACATGCACCGCGGCGAGTACCACAAGAGCATCACCGACGCCGAGAACTTCTACAAGTGAATACCAAAATAAGACATTAGCAACAGCCTTATTCCCCGGCGAAAACCGGGAGAATGGAGACACAGATGCGCCGATATTTCGGCAGCATGCCTTTGACGAAAATGAATTCCAAATGGCCTGCCAATGATCCTACTCGATTCTTCAGGTTTTGAGCATCGAGTCACAGTTTTTACAGACACCAGCGTTTAGGGAATTTTGCAAGGAGCAATCACTAGCCATTACTGCGATCTATTGCATATCCAACTAAGAAATCGAACACGCGAGAAATACCTGTACATACAAACGAATTCAAGTAAACAGACATCATGCATCACGCTTCACTGAAACATGCGAGCGAGCTCAAGTAAATAGGCATCACACTAGCGCATCAGTTATACATGCAATCGATTTAAATTAAACAGGCATCGCGCATTGCGCGTCAGGCATCACTTATATATATATATATATATATATATATATATATATATATATATATATATATATATATATAACACATAATATACAAAATAAGGTACATATGCATATGTCATATACAAGCGATTTTAAGCCAGCACACATAACACATCAAGGCACATATCACGTTCGCATACTCGTCTACGATATGCCGTGTGTCAAGGTTTGGTCGCCGACTTTATAAGAAAAGATTCACTTATTTTTCTGCCTGGGTGGTCCTGTGCTCTGTAGATGACTGTGAGCTCTAAAAGGGTCAAAGAGTCCGTACCTTCCTAGATTCCAACCTGAGCATGTTTTGACAAAAAAGGTCACCGAAAGGAGTATTCCCCATTTTGTTTTTAGCGTATAGCATATGTTCATTACATCACACACGAGTGGGGCGCATGGTCTCCCGACATAGATTATGTCCCTCCGTTGCTGTTCACATAGTTTACACTTAAGTTCGTAGACTGCGTTTTTGCGTGCAAACCCTTTGAAACCCAGATTTGCACAACTACATCTATTGTCACATGGGCACTTACTCTTCGAGGTAAAAGGTTGCACCAGATACTTTTTTAGCTCATTGTCATTCTTCCAAGTTATGGGTAAGCTCAGCTTTGATTTTCTAATGATGTGTTTGCTTTTCCAAAGCAAGCGCTCAGTTATCTAAGGTAGCGTTAAGAATCCGTCGTCCAATAGGACGTGTTGCCGCCTCCTACCACCCATCCCCCGCGCGCTGAGATTTTTGTTTCTACTTATTCCAACATTCTACCTAAAAGTCGCGGAGAACATCCATTACCCAACAGCAAAGTCTGCTTTGCTTATGCTCTTTCTTTACTTTCCACTGTTTGATGAGTTGTTTAGGGTCCTTTAGAATATGTTAGGAATTGCATTGTGCTTAGTGGAAGTAGGATGTGCAGATTCGCGGTGCGGAATTATACCAGAGTTGGTGGGCTTTATAAAGAGCTTCGTTCCTAACGTTATGCAGTTGTTTCTCTTCGTTATTTCACTTCTGCTTTTCTATAAAAGCATGTTGCCGAAATATCACCGCATCTTTATCTCCATTCTCCTGTTTTTCAGAGGAATATGGTTGCTATTATTGTCTTATTTATGTGCGTAATTCTCCTCCCAATTGCACTTAGCAAGTTACGTAAGTGAGTACCAGCATGACAGTGTGTAGGAGTCACGACCTCATGGGGTGTGAGAGATGCACATTTCCGGCATATGTGTATCAAATTAAAAAATCTGTATGTGTGCATATATCCCTACATCATTGCGTAAGTATATGATGAAATGACCGCATGTACGACATTACGACAGCATGCGCGACAGTATGTACGGTACGACAGCATGTAATTAGTGTCAACATTTGATCCAAGTGCGTTCCCAAGTAATAAGCAACTCAAAAAGAAGACTGCGAAGACAACGTGGTCCTCATAGCCATAATGGTGTACAACGCATAGCATATGTTAGGCGCACACATTCACCGCCATCTCGTAGACAAGAAAGGTAACAAAATGTGCTGATGAAAACGAGCAACGAACTAACACACAGCTTACGCCGTTTGGATTACAGCGCGAGCAAAGGCACGTTTACCGAGTGGACCCTTTAAGGCAGTATAATAAAAGGTATTTTAGCGTATGGCGTATACATGGCCAGTTCTTGCGCTTACGTTTATGGACAGCGTTTGTGAGAGCCCATTATCTTAAAGTTCATGAAAAGAATGAATAGCGCTCACGACCTTATTGGTCTCGTCTATTCGAGAGTTGGATACTTCGATGTCGCTGTTACGACGCTGCGCTTTTGTTTCCGGTGTGTCGATACAAAATGTTAACGAAATCCATCTGTATGTCGACGTTTCGACCAACGCGACGATCATTCCATTGTTAACACGCGCCTGGGTGACCGGTTAAATACCCTTTCCTCGGGTGAGGGTTAATGTGACCCCCCGGAAATCTCCAAAACTAAGATATCTTGGAAAAGTAAGATTGCAAGTCTGTTGGCAAGTATGTGATCTCACTTGCGTCAGATTGAGGCTGCTAAGTCATGAGCTTGGTGTCGCATAACGTAAAAAAGGCAAAGCTACAAATTGGTCTGCAAGATGCCCATGGAGTTCCCCATACAACCGCCTTCAACCTAGATACCTCTTCAGAGCAAAAGGTCACTGGTTTAAATTTAACATCAGTAATTTTTTAACCTTCAGGAGGTTGAGTTGACCAAAAGCCTACGAGATCGTTTTGTTTTGCCATTTGAATAAGCTTCAGGGACTACGCTAGGGCGTATGCTCCGCCGCATATTCGCTAGGCTGTATCGAAAAAAATTGCTCTTTAGTTGCCTATAGCTGTGTAAATTTTGACACAGGCACGACGGACCGTTCGGAAATCAGTGTGGAAAAACTTTTCGGGGGGGGGGGGCAGGTTGCCCCTCCCCACCCTGGTGCATGTTAATTGGCACTGATACGCAACGTTGTACCTTTAGTTAAAGCATCTCAGGCAAACACTGGCGGTCTTGCGACAATTGGTAACGGCTAGTGGTCACCGTCCGTTATCAGACCCCCATCTGTAATGACCAGATCCTTTGATAGCTTCCATTGATAGCTCCGGAATGGGTTCACGACCAGCCGGATTTTCGTCCCGTTTTGTCTCCTGATCCATTTGCTTACTCCAACGGCATGCTGGAGCCATCCCAAATTACGCTAAGCATTTTTGGCGATTGCTTAATTTTGGCAACTGTCTCCTGGTTTCGTGATACAGCCATCGTAAACTGGTGATTTCATATATGCGTTTGCTACGGCTCATGTATTCCAGAACATTTCTTTTGAGATTTCAGCACGATTTCCTCGATACCTGAGATCAACGTTATGTTATAACATTACCTTAAGATCAGGCGTCGAGGAAAAATGATCAGCCGTGGACAAGTCCAAAAACCCTTCTTCTTGTGTTTCTTTCGTTTCGCAAAGGTTAAACACCTCTTGTCTTACACTTGCATCGTACTTTGTTGACGGCCCCGTTGGATTCGATAGCTTATCATAGACAGGTGCACGCAGGCGCGAGCCTAGAGCCTTGGCAAGGGGGAGGGGGCCACAGGGTTGACAAAAGGCTCCCTGATGGTAAAAGACCCCCAAAGAAGTCGCCGAATATGGCCCATTTTTTATAAGGGAATTATTTCCCTGATATGTTTCATTGTTACCCTTTGTAAATGGAATAGAGACAGAAGCTGCCGTGGGATTAATTCCGCCTGAAGTTAGTAGTCAGTAAACTGACAAAATCGTGCGTTAAACGACTACACGAACTGAATCGTCGGCGCATTTCGTTTTATAATGGTATGGTGCACTCTTTTTAAGTCGATGAAACTCAGGCTTTGTTAGAATATTTGACTTGGCCCAAGGTCCCTACCAATGTAGATCAACGATCAAAATGGGCCAAAAATTTGTCTTAACATAGCCAAGCCGTGTTTCTCTGGAAATGTGTAATATCCAGTCAGAATCGGTTCGTGATGCAAATTATGCAAGGTACTTTTGAGCACGCGCGCTCGCACATCTTAGCAACAAAAATATCGATGTCATACGATGCAGCATCCATAGGCCGCGCAGCGTCAGTCCCGCGGTATCGATGGTGATATTGGATTGGCCTTCACAGCACCGCGAAGTGGTGCTGGAATCTTATGGTAGAACTGGAAGAGTAAAGACAAAATCTCTATTTTTAGCATTGTATTTTTCTTGTTGTAGTTGTTCATTTGCTCAGAGGACAACCTCAATGTTGTTAAAAAAAACATTCGCCTAGTCTAATTTTTAAACTGCACGAATTAATTTGGCAAGACACTCAGAAACATTATTTCAAGATGGCTGTTCTTGCGCGCACGGTGTCCGCTGCCTGGCGCTGCTCACCGTGGTCAACGCCGTTCGGTTTTACGGAAGTTGCAACCCAGGCCATCGCTGTCCTTGCTCCCAAGACTGCGGGCGAGCAGGCTCAACCCATTTGGTTTTATTTGTTTCACTAATCAAGTATGCAAAAGAATGAACGCTCTCAGGCAAACATGGGATAACCTTGTGCGTTGTTGAGCTTATTTCAACCCACTCTATTCAACGCTGGTCGGCCCCTTTTCTTTCGGGGGAATGGGCCAACTTGAGTAGAACACTCCGGGGCACATCATTGCTCCCGGTCAAGGGCTGAAGGGTCATTATGTCGCACCGCGGTGTCTCTTCGGGCTGTGATTCTGGCGATACGGGGTGGGATCCTATGGTCGTTCTGGAGGCCCTTAGAGAGAGATGCGTCATAGCACGTTGGTCCGCTCTCTGACGTGGGAGGCCTTCTGGCCCGCGCAGTTGACCCCAGATGGGCACAGGAACCCTCATCGACGCAACATCATCCCTGATCACCGCAGGTAGTCAAATAATCGGCACAATTATTGACCCCAGTTCGGGTTAACGGGCCGATGCTTAGATTGGGTTGGAGGGCCCACTGTTTGACACTGGGGGCCCTGACTGGCACAGGACCCTTCCATTGCCTGGATGTGAGCACTCACCCTAAGTTCTCATTTTTCCTTTTATTGTCAGAGGGCTCCGATCAACGCAAGAGGTCCTCTGTCATTCGGAGTTCCGTCCCCGTTGAACAAATTCCCCTGACCGACTCGAGGTTCCTTGTTGACAAAGAGCACCCTGTTAGGCCCTGGAACCCTGACCGATACAGGGGCCCCATACTGTTGCACGGGCCTGGACAAATTTAAATCGCGGGCCTGGCTTGTCTCTGCTTGGGAAATGGGCTCCAGAGCTCAGACCAACATTGAGTTGGTGGTGATCTCCGGGCGAGACAAAGGAACGCTCTAACTCAGTGATCCCGATTGGTGCAAGAGGTCCTCTTGCGGGTAATTGAGATCACAGCCCTTCGGGAATATGGACTGGTCCTTAAATTGACATACAGCCCTTTGGACCCTTCAGTTTTCCAATTGGGCCCTTAATCTTTGGTCTTGAGAGATTCTTCGGCCCCTCTTCGGGCCCCTCAAACACCGTTCCGACTCGAGGGCCCTTGTTGCCACAGGGCCCCTGCTAAGCAGTGTGGCCCCTGACCAACATAAGAGCCCCTCATTGTGTCAGGAACCCCGAACATTGCAAATTGCGGGCCTCAGTCTCGTCTCTGCTTGGAAAATGGGTCTCAAGGGCTCGGTCGGACATGGACATGACTGTTCGACGCTCGTGGTCTCTGGCCGGCTTAGACACCCGCATTGCCGCGGGAGTCCCTTAAAGGCACAAGAGGACCTCTGGCTGATATTTCAGGTCACGACCCTACGGGCCACGATTCTTTATGTGAATTAACGCCAGTCTTTTGGGCGCTTATTTCCTCCAACCCGGCCTTTTATCAACTGTTTCGCGGACCGCTCCCGATTCCCTCTTCGGGCCCCTTTGAACGCTTCGCTTGATCGGCTCGGGTTTCCTTGCGAACGCCGGACTCTGCTAGGCGCTGTAGGCCCGACCGATACCGGAGCCTCGACCAGTCTAAATCATTGGCGCCGGCTTTATAAATGATTGGTAAGTGCACCCTCAGGCCGGCACGTAGCCTTCTGTGCGATACGGGTTGTGCCACCGACAAATAGGCCCTAATCGACTCAGAAGGCCCAGCGCGCGCGGCTGTCTGGCTGCCATTGGAGTGCCTGTCCCTGCGGGCCGGTGCCCATGAATGCGACTTCCGGCCGGTCTTTGGGGTCCTTCGGGTTCACAAATCGGGCCCTTAATGGTGGGTTCCGAGGGGCCTTCATAGCCTAAGGGGACAGGTATTCCCTGTCGCCCCCCCCCCCCCCTCCGCCTGCGCTAATGGGTGCAGGCAAAGGTGGTCTCAGCTCCCTTGAAAGGGTGAAATGGCCGGCATACTTGCCAGTGCTTGCCAAGGCGAGATTACATGGGTGAATTTTGGCACGATATCGTTTTTTCGCTCCAAGACGACATTCGAAACCGCATTATTCAGATGCTGCTTAGTTTCATTTGCAGTACAGGTTGGTATTTTCCCTGCATTCTGCCCCGAAAATGCCGACCATGTGGTTCTTTACTCAGGTCCTGGAGCGGCTACGGAGACGAGCTGGCGTGGGCGGCCGCCTGGCTCTACAGGGCCACGCAGGAGGCCAGCTTCCTGACGGCAGCCCGGCAGCATTTCCAGGCTTTCAGCGCCCTCTCCCAGCGAGCCAGCGGGTTCTCCTGGGACGACAAGCGCGCCGGCGCCCAGGTGCTGCTGTACCAGCTGACGGGCGACGCGCAGTACGGCGCGCTGGTCAATGAGTTCTGCGACTGGCTGGCGTCGGGCGCGCCGCGCACGCCGCAAGAGCAGCTGTTCCTGCAGCCATGGGGCTCGCTGCGGCACGCGGCCAACGCGGCGCTCATCTGCCTGGAGGCGGCCGAGGCCGGCCTTAATCCGGCCCAGAACCGCCAGCTGGCCAAGGAGCAGATCAACCTGATCCTAGGCGACGCCGGCCGCAGCTACGTGGTCGGGTTCGGCTTCAACCCGCCGCTGCGGCCGCACCACAGGGCCAGTTCCTGCCCGGACCCGCCGGCCGTCTGCGGCTGGCCACAGTTATCCTCGCCCGACCCCAACCCTCAGGTGCTTCACGGCGCCCTGGTGGGCGGCCCGGATGCCAAGGGTGAATACCAGGATGTGCGCTCCGACTACGTCAAGAACGAGGTCGCCACCGACTATAACAGCGGCTTCCAGAGCGCGGTGGCTGGCCTGCTGTCGCTGCACGTGCGCGGACTATACCCGGCCTCATGATGCTGCTGGCATGAAATGGAGATCATTGCAGGACCGTGATTAGATCTTCTACCTATTTGCGGCCTCCTTCTGATGTTCTTATCTCGCATGTTTTTTCACTCCTATTTTCACAACATGCATTTTAATACAGATCGGAAGGAAGCAACACGCTATCACTCACTTCGTCACCAGCGTGCATTACTTCTAGTATTTGTCTATTACACCATGTCCAGACGCGCAAACCCACGTCGGCTGACCTCAACAAGAGAGTCATTTTGTTTTCATTCAAGACATCATCTGTTCCATCTGATTCCCTAATCTGCATAGTGTTTCCGCCGTGTATTTTACGACGCTCCCCTCGGCCTTCTATCCGCTAAGAACGTGTTTGTCAATTCCGTCTGTCGTGTACAGTTTTCCCGCATTGATGTCTTCACAAACGTCATATTTACCAGGTTCTGGACATTGTGGGGACTACCAAGGCTGTAGAACCAACATCAAATTGACGGTGGTCGCCATCATCAAACATTAAAGCAAACATCTGCCGTGAGATGGCAGTAGAGTACGTTGTGCGCCAGCTTCGGACCAGACTGACGCTCTGTATCTGTGTTCTCAGTTTTTACGTGTGTGGATACATTTAAGCGTGGGTGTCGATTTGTATTTTTTGTATTCCCACTGCTCCCCCCCCCAAAGTTGATGTAAATTTTACCCCCACCCACCCCTTCAACGGTGAGTTCGCCCCCACCCCTCCAACCTTCTGGAACTAAGATACGAACAGGACAATAAAAATAAGATCTTAAAATTACATCAGTTGTAAACAATGTTTCTACTAATTGTTTCACATTTAACAAGAGCAACAAAAACGCAAACTGCGATGTCATATTCAGTTAAGTGAAGTTCACTGAGCTAGTTACATTTTTCTTAAGCTCCACTAGCAAGCCCTGTGTAACGGAGCATTCCATGTTCCTCCTGCATGCTGCATGTTTGTAAGTTTACAATTAGCATTTATTGTTGAGTTTTGCCTAGTTTTGTAATGTTGCCTGAGCGTTTTGACATTATTTATTGGTATTCAGGGTCTACAGACTGCAGCAAGCTGCAACATTTAGGTACGACGCCTTAACGGAAATTGAAAACAAACCGGTCGAATGCTAGCGCCCAAAAACGTAACCGAGTTAGCAGCTGTCTACGTTTCGAAAAGAACACTTCAAATGTGCCGACCTTTAATAGGAAGTGAATGTTGGTGAGAACAGTCACGAAAACTTGACGATCAACACCAGCCGACTAAATCGATAGCGGTCATCGTTCAACAATGGCCACCAAAACAACAGTAGCCGAGTCGAACATGCCTAACGCGAGTGCCGCGTAGTAACCTGAATCCCGCCTTGCAGCTACCAGTTGGACTTCTCCACGGAAGCTTTCAATTTGTCGCGCACATCAACTTGCACTCTTAACTCCCGAAGCCGTACACAACTAATGGCGTCTGAAACAACATGACATTGAACCGACGTTGGTTACTGAAACATGGCTCCGACGATCGACGTCAAACAAAATTATAATTATGCTCAACTACGACATCTTCCGAAGAGATAGAGTGCCGAAACGTATTAAGGCAGTGTTTTAGTTTCCTATTAATTTGAGGGGGTGGAGTGGCATTCCAACTCGATAACACTGAGAATAAACTGGGTCATATCCGGGGAGAAACCCGTTTTATTACGTTTAGAGCTAGATTTTCCCCGGTTGCCTCCCGCCCCGACTCCCTCCCCCCCCCCCCCAATCTTTTTTGCGCAACGAGCCCTCTGATGGAGGATGCTCAAAGGGAATATTCCACCTTTGAAGATAGCAAAGCAAGCACCAGGTTGGAAGAGGCTGCTCCAAACAGCGCAATTTCTCTATTTAGTAAATGTCTTCTTCAACATGTCACTGTCTGATGACGTCATTATATCTTGTAGAATATGGATTAAGACACAATTGACGACCATCATATCTAGATGACATGCTTCCGAACGCCAGATACGAGCGACTCAACAGTTATATGGTCTTGGCCTTGATCGCCGCATGGCTTATGGAATGGCAGGATTTGAATGGCATTATTATGACTGTGTGTATGTCATGGATGCCTGGGTTACCTTGAATTCGTCAGCATGAGAAAGCGTGCACATTTTCGTGAGCATATAGCTCAGACGCTAGAGAGGCTTAGCTCTTAAGAAGAACCGGGCTTTGAACTGCACCAAATGATCTTCAAGATGGTTATTTCAGTTCCAAACCCGATGCAAATGTGGAGCACTGCGTTACCGACCGTGACACGCGTCGGATTCGCCATCAGACTACTCCAGTGTCATGTCTGGAACTGAAGGTCTATTTCCCAGCGGGGGCCACGCCGGAGCCCGCGGTTTACATTGGTCGGCGCCGCTGAGTCAATGAGGCCCCCCTCCCCCTGTGATGGTTTGGGGACCACACTGCCTAACAAGCAAGCAAACTCGGCCCAGGCAGTGATCAAGGGGCCCGCAGAAGGACCCGAATTACACCCGAGGACCGGAGATGAAATGCCCCATTGGAGGGCACGAAGGGGCTGCCTGTACGTCACTTTAAGGACGCCGGCCCGAAAGGGTGTGCCCTCAAATGTCCATCAAATGGGTTCATGCATCGATAGTAAACATTCTGGGACAATGTAGGCCTCTATTTCGGTCAGAGGTGATGTGTATTTGGTGGGGTTCTGAGTCGGCAAGGGGCGCCGAGTCGGCCAGGGGAACAGCTGTTGAGCAGGGACATAGACGGTATCTCGATTGCCAGGTGGCCTGCGTTGGTCGAGACCTTTTGACAAAGAAAAGAGATATGATGACCTACTATTAGACCCCCAATGAGACAGTGGAAAGGCTCTTTGTCAGTCATTGCTCCCAATACGGAACGGAGAGACCTTCTGCCCAATGTCAGCCATGGGCACGTTGAGCCGAGTCTCTGTGCCAGTCATTCGACCACGTGCGGTGGTACGGTGTCTTGTTGCGTCAATGGGGGCTCTTGCAAATATCCGTGGCCAAATGCCACGGTCGGCGGTCCCCCAGCGTCAGGTAGGCAACCAATGTATGATTGGTCCATCTGAAGGCTTCCTATCCACCCGCCTCCCCGCCACTGTCGCCGGCATCGCAGCCGGCAGGCATCCCGTGCTTAAACACGCGCCCGGGTGGCCGGCTATATACCCTTCGCTCGGGTGACGGGGATCAATTTGACTCCCTGAGATCTCGGGAACTAAGAAAGCTTGAGACACCAAAGTTACAGGGCGTCTTGACCTGTATGTGGACTCACTTAGGTCAAAGTTTCAGCTTTTCAGGTCATGACCGTCAGCTCAAATAAGGTCAAGCAGGGTCAAATTACAGGTTGGTCTCTTAACTGTCCGCAGGACCTAGGCAACTGTTTCTGAGCAAAAGGTAGCATCCCATTTTAAGTCAGTGACCTTGTTTGACATCTTGAAGGCCACGGTGATCAAAATAATTCAAAATTGCTCTGAGTTTTGTATTTGAATAAACGACAAAGATTACGCTAGGCAGTATGTTCCTAAATCAAAAGGTCAACTCGGGTCATATTAGGTCAATGACTTGTCCTGACATCCAAAAAGTGAATGGAAGATGCACAATGCAATTTCTGCTCTCAATAGATTATATATGAGCACCACAAACTATCCTATGCAGCAAGCCCTAAAGTAATAAATCAGGTTGGTTTTGACCTTGGTCTGACTTTCGTACTTGACCTAGGTCAACGTAATTTGCTCATTCAATATTTGTGGTGCCTAAGAAAGCATCTCAGAGATGGATGGCTTCGTCAAACATTCCGTTATTGTATCAGATTGGACGATTCCCTCGACATTACCTCCGCTGAAACTATGACTTGATTTTGACTTGCCATAGGTCAGCGACCTTACAAGAATCATCTAATTTTTTATGTCAAACGATCTGCCATTCAATAGCCTACAGCTATGCAAATTTTGGCGCGGCCACGCCTCGCTGTTCGGATACCATTCTGGAAAAATCTTCGGGCGGTCAATTTGACCCCCCACCCGAGCGTGTATTAACGGAATGCCGTTTTAGTCCCCGACCGGAAAATAGAATGTGCATTCTAGTGTACTGTCCACTTGGCCCCTTGCACGGAAAAAGCGAGGGGCTTCCTCTGTGCTCAATAGGGCGGATCAAAATGGGTCAAAGCTGAAAAACGATTCCATAAAAAACTTTGAGCCTATGTGCTCACAATATTAGGAACGAGAACACCGATGGGCGAGCTCGTAGTCTCAAACCGAGTGGCGCTGGCCGCTGCAGATGACGCAGGGCAGCGGGTACGTCGTGATATAATGTTCCCGAAATTGCTTTCAAAATCGATTCGAAGCGCTCCAAATTTAGGCTGGGCGTATTGCCATTGCACCTGTATTACTATGAGGTTGTCCTCTGAACAGATCAACAGGGACAGCTGTTCTATCCCCCAGAGTCTTTCGTCACTGCGGCTGCGCCGCTGACACCCAGGAGTCCGGTCGGAATCTACATTAGGGAACGCACGACGGTTATGATACGCGCCAACACCACCCCGCGCGGTAGCCACCAGTCGGCTTCCACCGCGCGTTGGCTCGTGCACGCACATGATCCACCAAGGGCGGATCCAGTACGACGTTGGGGAGGGGGCGTGTACGGGGACACCACAACAGCAGCACGAAAATAGAGATTGTTCCTTTTCTGGTCTAGTTCCACCAACAAAGCCCAGTCGCAGCGCAGTGAATACTAATCCGTTCCTCTTAAAGTATAAAAGTTGCGCCGGTGAAACACACTACCTTCTAAACGTACGAATCAACATATTAAAGCGCATCAAAGTGCTTATTCCAAAACCTCTCTCGCTTTCGTCCGTCCGCTGGCCGCCATCTTATGCCAGCCTCAGCCCGACACCACTAACGTGATCATTATCATGCATGTGGCGGTCCTATTAATAACGCACGCATTATCTTCACCACAGTTACAACAAACATCTTCGCTGGTGTGTGTACAGCGCATTGTTATTTATCTAATTGAAGCTATTCCCTTTTAGCCTTAAGCTCCCACAACTATTGGTCAGTGTGAATTGTTTGTTATTAGTTGTTGAACTAACTGAGTATTGCTGAGCATTGTTGATTAGATTATGTTGTCGGTTACAATTGGTAACACTGTGCCGTAAATGAGTTGTAAAATGTGGCACGAGACCAAATTCAGACCAAAATTGTCGTGTGCCGTTCGTAATTCACATAAAAGTCGTAACTTAGATACAGCGGGACTAGTTTACACGGGAGAAGACGCGACCTTAACACAAAGACAAAAAGGTAAATTTGAGTAGATTGTGTAATTTGACAAAATGTATTGCCCCCAAACCTCGTAACGCTAGGTCCGCTAATGTAGCGCGATGGCCACCATCCCCTAGAAGCTAAACATATTTCATTGCCGTATACAGCAGCGCACATACCACGGGCATAGTTTCACAAAATGAGTTGGGGGAGGGGGGGGGGGGGGCTTAACCGTGAACAGTGCCCAAACGTACCGCCCCAAAAATACAACAGCTTTATTCTTCCTGCTTACTAAATCTGTTTATCAAAATAAACACGTTTTCGCCCACTATCTTTCCAAAGTTGAGGGGGAGGGGAGTTGTTGGAGCCCCAACTGAATAGGAAACTGCACCCCTGGATCATACCAACACACACACACCCTAGACCCGTAATAAAAAGTATTGACTCCCACCGTTGCATAACACGTAATCGCTGAGTGGATGAACGACACCAGAAATTTATGGCATATTCATGATTATTGTACCAATTTGTATTAATTCCTGGCAAATCCATGAATGTTATAACACACCTAGGGTCATAAGACACACAAAAGTCTGAGAAGTTAAGCTGCAAAAGCTACGAGGCACGGGAATGACCAGACATTCATGCCTAGTCCTGTCCCCTTCCCCGGTGCCAAAAAAATACGTGCCGACGCCCATAGCCGCCATAAATGTGCCTTCGTCGTCCTAGGGCGACCTCCAGGGCGGCGCCTTAAATTTCCGATCAGAGGGGGCATGTCTTCACTCGTCCTCTGAATCCGCCCATAGAGGACTGCTATGTGGCTTAAATTAAAGACTATTTAGTCAGTGTTACAAAAATTTGCATTGCAAATTACCCTCCGCCAAAAAGAAGGCTAAATCCGCTGAAACAGACACGGAGTGATGGTAGTTGTCGGACCCTAGGCTCCTCCAATCATTCATGAAAATTGACATCCCCTGGCATACCGTATTCAACTTGGGCACGCGTTTCACGCGGTGTGTTAATGCGTCAAAAAAAACTCAGGCTATGTCATAGTGCTTCTGCTAGGTTTCTTTTCGCATACTATAAATTTGCAGTGCCTCGACGATATAAACCACCTTGGAAGTCCTTATGTGCTGTAGGGGTCGGCGTATCGTTTTCTTACGCGTCTCCGTGCATCAAACAGCGGGATTATTTCATTGCTCGTCCGTGGCCCTCTCTCTCTCTCTCTCTCTCCTCTCTCTCTCTCTCTCTCTCTCTCTACTCTCTTCTCTCTCCTCTCTCTCTCTCTCTCTCTCTCTCTCGCTCTCTCTCTTCTCTCCTATCTCTCTCTCTCCTCTTCTCTCTCTCTCTCTCTCTCTCTCTCTCTCCTGACCTAGAACGTAAATTCAAAAATATACGTAGGTCAAGTGATCGACTTAAATTTGAAGTGTGAATTTTCATCAAAATTATCGGTTTTCAGGTGCTGTGTAAGGGTGCGTCTCTGATTGGCCCGGTGCTCGGCGAAAAAACGGCAGTAGATTATCAGCTCCCTGCGATCATCCGGCGACGAAAAACAACGCGTAAACGTTCGTGCCGCGTTTGGCGGTTCCCGGCTAGTCCGGTACGCGGTCCGTAGGGTAGGTTCGCTCTGGTATAAGCAAACATTGCTTATTCGTACAGGTAGGTGAAGAAAACAACGGAATTATATAAATCCCACCATTTGCATGCTTCCAGTTATGGCACTGCTCGTTGGTTGGGGACCAGAATGTGAGCTGGTGGCGTTGTAATTGTCTCACGTCGAGCGTGGCTCATCAGTGACCTCGCAATCCATTTTTCGAAGCGATCTTTCATCCATGCACTTTTGTCCAGGTCCTCTATACTTCTTTTACTAAAAATCTCACATTTTGGAAGGCATGCATACAGTACCTGAACTTTGCTTTTCGCTCTTAGGGTAGAGAACAAAAACTTTAAAATGACAACTTGTATTGAAAATAAAATATTCTAGATGCCATGCTTTTTCTGGTCTGGGTGGATATTGGTGCTTGAAATTTTTATTTTTCTAGCTTCCTGAGTAACTGCTTCCTTTCACGGTCTATGCTCACGCCTGTATTTTTCAAAGCTATGGAGCTGGTGGAAAGTTGACATTGACACTTCTATTGTATAGATGTGAGTATCAATTAAGGTTGATAGAAATGAATGCTTCAAATGTTGTGCCTGTGTAATAATTCCCCAGACCACATCATTGCAACTTTATGATTGAAATGTCATGCAAGCTTCAAGAATATAGAAAGGGTACCTGGGACCTAATAATGCAGCTAGGTTCTAGCCAGGGTGCTATCTGGCTCATCTAAGGAACAGATTCTGGGGCAATATGACATCTACCTGGCCTTTAGCTGACTGAGGCATGCCTAATTTTGAACCATGGGGGTGTAGAGATTAATTTCCTATTTGGCTGGGTGGGTTGATAGCCATTCTCCCAACTTTGAGAAGGCATTTAGTCAAAATCAGGGAGAGCATGGTTTGAGCCATTTATGTGGGCTTGAAGAGTTCTCTGCTCATCTGCTCCACAGAGTTATGTACAAAGCTGTACCATCTGGGATGTCAGGCTGCTGCAGGATCAGGCTCAGAGTTTGATGCAGCAGGAGCCAAGGAATTATTTCCTTATAGAGAAAGCCATCTGTATATGAGAAGCATGGCCATATCTGCTGACTGATTGGTATCTGATACAACACTTTTCTCAGTGTATGACACTAACCTAAATTTATGTATTGCTGTTATCAATGTTATCAACCAATTGCACTATCATGCCCAATATGGCTCTGCATGCAGCTCCTCCAAAAAATGCTGGAAGGCCACTTAAATGTTGCACAGGAGTAGCATTTTTCAACAACAGAGCTGCTGTAAGGTATCAATGAGTTTTGATATTGGTTTTTAGGACCTTAATAATTTTGTAAAAATTACTCATTGGCAAAACCCAGCTCAAATAAAAGTTAGTTCTCTAAAATGTAGATAATGATGTAAATGCAAAACCAAAAGCTCTTCTCAATTGAGAACAGGAAACTTTCGTAGCATTATACTCAGATCAAAGTTTTGTGGGGATGCTCAGTAGATTGATAGAAAAAAAATCATGTTTCTCTGTAATGCCTCTTTAATGGCTTTTTCATCCTGTGCTCAGCTCAGATTTCTTGATGTCAAACATGCGTTTTCTCCAATGCCAACTCCTTTCTAAGAGCTGGAGACTCTGGAAGTCATGGATTTCTGTGCACCCAAGCAACCGCTTGGGATGGTGCTTGACCGGACAGTGTTTGACATCACTGTTGTGCCATCTATACAATCTCCATTGTTAATAGCTTCAAATGCAAGTTTAATGCCAATGCTATTTAAAAATGGATTGAAAATAATCTTGCAACCAATATGTGATCAGTTCATGTTATATTTAGGGATATATGTTGGTGTGATATCTACTTTTGTATCAATTTGTATTGTGTTACAATGATTTCCACGTGCAATCCAGAAACATTGAATTGTGGCATATACAAGATGTTTTCTGTTCCCTCACTTCTCCCTGGCCTGTCAAGAGAGACTGTTGTTGTTTTGAGTGTGGGCTCCGGGCCTGGAGCCTGAGCACGGGGTGTCATTGGTGGACGTTAGGTGGGTTATTAAATGTGCACCGGTGAGGAGCGACAGACGTGGTCACTGATTGCATTGAAAGGAAATATTGTGTGTGATATGATGAAAGGATTTGGCTGAAATCCGCAAGCAGTATCCCTTGTTTAGTCATGTGAGTGTGGCACATGATGCCGTCGAAGTTTCAGGAATAGCTTGCCGCCATCTGATGTAACTTGCAGAGAACAATTTTTATATTCCTTCCAGGGTATATCTGTGGAGAACAAAATGTCTTGGGGCTAAAAACACCAAGAAACAACCAAGTTTCAGACACCGAATGCAAATTGGTTGCCATTGTACATTGAAAGTGTACACCACCTTAAGCTGGACTTTCCGGGCTCTCAAAAAGCTGCTGGAGATGAAAGTTATAAAATAAAAGTTGTCCTGCAGATTCCAAAGGATTCTATTGCATTTGCAATGCAAGCTACCTATATAACAGGATCAAGTGCTGATTTACCAGCCAGTGGTGGGGTGGGTTTGAGTCACTTTTGTTATTGCTATTTGTCTAGTCTGGATGGCTTCTGGTGTCATGATGATGATGATGATTTGGGGTTTTAGGGTGCATCGACTGCTAAAGGTCATGCAGCGCCCATAACTATGGCTTCTGGTATCATTGACCCTACTTAAGGTTAAAAGTCAGGTGACATGTGGGATCAACAGTGGGTGGAGCTGACAGTGTGGAGAATTGCAGCACATTAAGGCTTTTCACAAAGTCCTGAAATTATGCAAGTCATCTGGAATTTAGGGTATCACATGGTGTGGTTGGGGCTCACACAATGGTCAATGCATGGTTATACAAATGTATTAATGTCACTTGCAGTACTGATTACAGGATGTGTTGAAATATAGTATGTAAGGATAAAATTGTGACAGAGTATGTCACATGGTTATTTACCATGGAGAGATATAAGAGATAATATTTTCATTCATATTTTGGTTAGCTACCAGCTAAGATAAGTATGTTACAGGGTGGAAATCCAAAAAAATGCTGGTAGCAGAGTACAGCTTTTTAAATTGGGGTACAATATTTTGAGGTGCTGCAAGTCATTACGCTCTTATCTACCGCATGATTGGAGATAGCAGTATGATGAGTGGTACTGAACAGAAGGGTCACATTTTATATACATCAATTCATGTAAAAGCGCCTCAAATGAAAGAAAACATCAGCATTGAACATGGTATACTGAAACAGCACAGCCCCAAACTCGATAACATGAAACATGTGTACATATATGGATGAGTGGGCAATATTTGAAAAAAAGTTTACCATACCATGGATTTAGGCAAGTCTTTTCTCAACTACTACTGTACTTTTTAGATTTAATCTGGACCCTTTGTATGTATGGATTTCTGGGATCAGATCTCACGCTTATCAGCACTTGTTGAGCGAGCCGCGACCCCTACCAGCCGGTCGCACAATTCCAGGGGAACGACGGAATTTGGTGGCGAAAGCTTAACATGCGGCAGTGCTCGGCACGGTCCGTCCTGCTCTCTGACGTCATTTGACCGTTATCGCGGCCGCTGTCACCTGCCCAATGTAAATAAATAATAAGCACTTTATCCGATTCTCTTAAAGAAACCAACAAGTCGCTTACTGAATGACGTAATTTCGTAACATAAGTTTGGCGCTGAGCAGGGTTTAAATGGCACAAAAAAATGCCAAAGAATGTGCGACAGACGGCCACTTTCTCACGTGCCACCTCGATCACGCTATTCACACTCTACGTCGTGGTGCCGCAGCTACCTGGCTTAAAAAACGGCAAAAGCGCGGCAAAACCGTCGTGCCCCCACATTCCAGCTACTGGACACCACACGAGGCCCCGAACGTCTCAGCCGAGCAATAGAGACAGACAGCACTCTCGACCGATTTACCAATATAGCGCAAGCACAACTGAAAAGTACCATGTCGGCCAAAGGAGATCAGAGTCAGTCAGTCCGCTGACTCCGGTGGGTAAAACAACACATTAATGGTTTTCGGTGCGCTTTAACCAACAACATTGCGAAAAATGATGAGTTGTATTTCAACTTCTTGGTGATTTTATCCTCATCAATGCTTGTCATTAATTTGTCGGGTTAAATTAATTGGCTCGTGTTTCTTTAGCCTTCTGGTGTTCTTGCCGCAGTCATTCGAACAGTTTTTAGGTATTACTATCAACGTTTCTCGTTTTTTCCCGAATTTCTGACCCTTATATGGCAGACTTACATCCTTTAATTGCCGAGCCGTCTTTATCTTTTTGTACTCGGGATGCCAACAAGTGGTCAGGAATCCGACCACGGGCAGTTATAGGCAAGCACAAATAAGCCCTTTATAACCTTGATGCTCGTCTCTACACGGCTTCCCTCGTTGAGCTCCCAAACCTGTTCAAGGCTTGAGCGCGAGCTGAAAACTTAAGCTCTTAGCAAATCAGTCACGGGGGGACGAATCTTTCAAACAAATTGGATAGTTTTGCGGTGTACATCCTCCAGCCTGGTCGCTTGGGAGGTGGGCTTGAGTTACTGAATAGCTGAGACGTTTTCGACGCTGAATTGTGAGTGATTCTCCCATTTGCATCGCCACGGCACCGTGGTGGAGTGGAAGTAGGTGGCCGTCAGTGGTAGGCGATTGGGTGTGCGGTTGTTTGTCTCCGTTCGTTGCATCGTTGGCAATTAATGCGGTTCATGGTTAATGGTAGGTTAAATCATGTTCAATTTTAAGTTGGTCTCCTTAGGTCGTAGGAGGTGAGAGCTTTGCTAATTTGCACACCGGCGCCACTCTGCTTCTCGTTTCTCATTTCTCGGTATTTTTCAAAGACCATTCCAGGCAACATTCATACACCGTGTTATCCACATTTCCATATCTGATCTCTTGTAAAACTAGATCGCGGCACAGGTGCTAGTTATTCTGCATGTTCGTGTATATATATATATATATATATATATATATATATATATATATATATATATATGTATGTATATATATTCACATATAGTATGTGTGTTATGCAATAGTGACCACTAATTTTGTTGCTTCCTAGTTTAAGCTCAGATCACATGGCGAACTAACCCATCAGCATCTAACCTTTGTGCTGACTCTGCAGGTAACACTCCAGCACCAGAATGGACTTCCAGCACCGCGCTGGCGGCAAGACGGGTGGCGGCGGCCAGGCCTCCTGGTCTGAGTCGAACCGTGACCGGCGCGAGCGGCTGCGCCAGCTCGCGCTCGAGACCATCGACCTGCAGAAGGACCCCTACTTCATGCGCAACCACCTGGGCTCGTATGAGTGCAAGCTGTGCCTGACACTGCACAACAACGAGGGCTCGTACCTGGCACACACGCAGGGCAAGAAGCACCAGGCCAACCTGGCGCGCCGCGCCGCCAAGGAGGCGCGCGAGGCGCCGCAGCAGGTGGGCACGAGACCGCCGGAACGCGGCCGGCCCTCGACGGGCGGTGGGAGGGGGGGGGGGGGGGGGTGCGAGGATGAGGAGAGTAAGCTTTAGGGTGCTGTCTCAGAATGGCAGTCAGATTCGGGGTCAGTACGTGCCAGTCGCGTGTGGCAGTCGGTGTGCCGAATCTGCCGTGTGCGCCGGCTGCGCGGGGGCGCCGCTCCGTTCGATCCGTCGGATGCGGCGCCATGGACCGACGGGCGGGCCCCGGTACCCCGCCGCGCTGGCAGGACTGACAGCCCGTCCTCCCCCAGCCGGCTCCGGAGAAGGCGCGGGTGGACATTAAGAAGTTCGTCAAGATTGGTCGTCCCGGCTACCGCGTCAACAAGCAGCGCGCGCCCGACAGCGGCCAGCAGAGCCTGCTGTTCCAGGTGGACTACCCAGGTCAGTCCGAGCGCGGCCAGTCGGCTCACCGGGCGCCGGTGCTGCCCTCTGTCGCTGACGTTCGCACCGTGGCTGCGACCGGCGGCAGAACGGGGCAGCGCCATTGCTGCGGTGGAGGGTCAGAGCACGTGCTGGATGGCGGCGCTGTCAGCATGGTAATCCACAGGTGGACTTGTGGCGAGCCAGGTCTTTCAATCTTCATTATTTAGTGAATTTGATTCATCTATCGCAACACATTTTTGTCTCACCATATTATGCATCAGTGTTGCGAGAAGCTACCCATGCCGCACCGATTAGGTACAGATAGACGCGGGAATCACGGGCCCTGTTATATCCATGGCTGCCTATCATTAAACAAATTCGCTATCGTGATGCCTGTCTTATTCCTGGGCCGCCCCAGTAGGCCAGGGGTAATGGCTGAGTGGTATGCGCTCTCGGCTCCAACGTGGGGCCCGTGTCCGAACCTCGGTTACGCCCTGTCCATGAACGCTGATGTGGTTATTATAGCCCCTGACGTTCCATATAAAGGAGAGCGACGTCGTTGTCGCGTTTTCCTATGGCAAAGAAAACTGGACACATGCCCGCCGTGTAACGACCTTGTGGGTTTGCGGCCCGGAAGCCACGACGGAATGATTCGGCTTTGTGGTCAGCTCCCGGTGCGGCAAATTTCAGCGAGGCTGAAGTCATGAGAACTCGATGCGCATCACCGCATCACATGAGATGGCTTAACAGCGTGCAGTGGGTGGTCGCCCTGTTAACGGAGCGGGGTGCGGTGGGACGGGTGCTGTACGGTGGAGCGGAGCGGGGTACGGTGGGATAGGTGCAGTTCGGTGGAGCGGAGCGGGGTACGGTGGGACAGGTGTAGTACGGTGGAGCGGGGCGGGGTACGGTGGGATAGGTGCAGTTCGGTGGAGCGGAGCGGGGTACGGTGGGACAGGTGTAGTATGGTGGAGCGGAGCGGGGTGCGGTAGGACGGTTGCAGTACGGTGGAGCGGAGCGAGGTACAGTGAGACAGGTGTAGTACGGTGGAGCGGGGCGGGGTGCGGTAGGACGGTTGCAGTACGGTGGAGCGGAGCGGGGTACAGTGGGACAGGTGTAGTACGGTGGGAGCGGAGCGGGGGTACGGTGGGGCAGCTCGCCGACCTCAGACGCAGGGCGGGGCCGAGTTTTGTCGTTTTCGGAACCCGTCTGGTGCGGGTCGGCTGGCGGCGGCTCACCAGTTGGATGGCCGTGTCGCCAGTTGAACTGTATGCTCCTTCGGGACTGAGGACAGTGGCCTCTTAAGCATGCTGTGATATAGCCGTGTTCATTGTTTGTGGTTAGTTTGGAGCTCAGAGAAGTACATAAGATACCATTAGACCTAAAGGAAACGCTGAACAGGTTTTTGAAAGTAACTGGAAGATTCGCATTGTGTGACCTTGAGGTGTTTCTCCAGATCCGTTAAAGCCTAGCGTCACGTCACCCGAAACTGGCCGATGTTTGCCCGATAAAAATGCCCGATAAAAATGCCCGATAAAAAGGTCCGCATGAATCCGACGGCAGAGCCTGTGTCGACCGTCAGCCGGCGGTCCCGCTTCTGGAGCCACTGCTGAACTGAGTGGATCTGCACTTCAGCCGTGAAGTGTGATATTCACGCGCTGTCGCTTCCCCGGCAAATGCGGCGCACAGGAGATGTGTCGGACGATTCACTCAGTAATTGTAGGACCTCTTGCGATCGGGAGACGTCACGTACGTGTTTCAGCGTGTGCGAAGTGGAATCCGATCCGAGGGTGTATTCTCCAACGAACGTAACGCTCCGTGAATCGCGTAGCGGGAGGTCTCCACAACCAAATGTCATGCGGATTAGAGAGAGACTTCATGAATTTGGTTCGTGGTGGATTTGTCGTGCAAACTGTCCGTTAAAAAATTCCGTTATCAGCTGGAACGCTGTATTTGCAAAACGACTGCCATCGAAGACATGACGAACACTCAGCTGTACCCACGCTTCCACTCCTGCACAGTTCACCCGAATCACGCCAGCCAAACCGCTGGTGACATTTGTTCGGCACACGTAAGCCGCCAACTGGTTGGCGCCGGAGCGGGGCGCTGTGTGGGCATGGGGCGGCCGGTGTTCCGCTCTGAGCCGGCGCTGGGGCCAGGGCCCGCCGCGGGTCCCGGGCCCAGCGCCGCGCCACTCCGCCGTGTCGCCGGCGGGGCTGCCCCGAGCCGCTCCGGCTGACCGGCCGGGCCGCGCCGTCTGGCCGGCCCGGCCGGAGCGACCGGCGGGCCCTCGTGGGCGGCGCCGCGTGTCCGCCAGACGGGGCCGGCGGCGTCAGCCGGCCAGACGGGGCCCGAGCGCCAGCGACCGGACGTGACCGGCGCACGAGTCCGAGGGGGCCAGCCGACCGGCCGGGCCGCACCGTCTGGCCGGTCAGGCCGGTGCACTGATCCGACCGGGCCAGCTGACCCGAGCGAACCGGCTAACCCCATCAGGCCGCTTGGCCCTCAGCTGGATCAGCCGGCGCCGCCAGCTGACCTGATCGGTCGGGCATGACCAGCTGTCCGCCGCGTCACCAGTAGGCCGCCGCGTCACCAGTAGGTCGCCGCGTCACCACAAGGCCGCCGCGTCACCACTAGGGCCGCCGTCGTCACCCAGTAGGTCGCTGCGTCACCCAGTTGACCATGTCGGTGGTACGCGACAGACTGCCGCTGTGTAGCTCGGAGGTGACATCCAGCAGCGCCGTCAGCAAGGGGTACACGTCGACGGCTTGCACCGGCTGCACCACCACGCCGTGCCGGGAAACTCGGGCCGCGCGCCAGCAAGCACGCCCCGCATCTCAGGCACCGCCTGCTCCGTGTCGTCGAGCCGCCGGCCGCGCCTGTCGCCATAGGCGCCGTGTTCTCGATGAACGTGCCCGGCTCGGCCACCAATAGTACGTCGGGCACGCGGCTCGGATGCGCCACCGGTAGCGCTCGGGGATCTGGTCGCGGTGGGTAGGCACGCGTGCCCGGCCAGGTTGCTGATCACGCCGTAGACGAGGTCGCGGTGTGCCTCGTCCGTGTAGACGTAGCAGACGGCGCCGTGCCGGGTGATGTGGACGCTAGCCTCGTGCGGCAAGAAGCGGTCGATGTTTACCACCTCCATGGTCTCGGTGTCGGTTAAGGCCGCCGTCCGACACGATGACCGATGTTGATCTGTCACGCAAGCTGGCGCTCGACAGTGTGCGGTCCATCTGCTGCAGCCGCGCGTCCAGCGTCAGCAGCTCGTCCAGCACGCGCCGCGACTCGGCGCCGTACTGCTGGGCCGACGCCTTCAGCACTTCCGTGTGCACGATGGCCAGGTTGTAGTTGTGCTCGTCGCCCAGGAGCAGATCGAGCGCGTTCGACAGGTTCTCGCTGAAGTTGTCGTCGCCGCCGGTCGGCGCCTGGCAGGAGTTCGGCGAGTAGCCGTCGAACTGCACGCAGCCGCCGTGCACGTTGAAGACGGCCGCGCGGCGCCACTGCTTGACGGCCGAGTTCCAGAGTGGTCTGACGCCACCCCACCAGATCGGGTCGTCGGCCGAGTGTCCGGCCGGCCCGTCCACGCTCAGCTCGCCGGAGTCGCGGTCCATAAAGTGCTCGCCCAGCACGCCGTGCTTTTCCGGGTAGAGGCCTGTGAAGATGGACGTTTGCGTCGCCACGCCGCCCGACGGGAACGTCGGGTTGAGCCACTCGGCGCGCGAGCCGTAGCGCAGGAAGTGCGTGAAGAAGGGCGCGTCCCGCGACGGCACCTTGGACAGGTAGTCGTGGCGCAGCGCGCTCACCGAGATGACCAGCATCTTGGGCGGCTGCCGGCCCACCTGGAACCACACGAACACGCCCGTGCACACGACCACGTAGAGCAGGATGACGAGCACCATGTTGCGGCCGCGCCGCGACAGCCACTCGTCGCTCGGCTGCTTGCCGGCGTCGGGCACGTGCAGCGTGGCCGGCTGGTCGTCATCGCCGCGCCGCTGGCGCACGCTCCGCTCCATCGCTGCAGCGCCGGGGTACTGGGACGCGCGGCGTGCGGCGGCCGCCGCCGCCGCCGCCGACCGGTTCAAACCGGCCCCGACCGGCCGGGATGAGCGCTGGTCCGTCAGCCGCCGCCGCCGCCGCTTTCCAAGCGGCCCGTGCAAAACCGGCGGCGGCCCGAGTCCGGCCCGGCCGGTCCGTTGCTTGGTCGGTCGGTGTGTGATGCGGGCCGCTCGGTGCGTTCCCCGGGCCGGCGGACCCGGCGCACGGCGCATTGCGAGAGCTGGCAGGCAGGGCCGGGGATTATGGCCGGTTGCAGGATGCAGAAACTGGATGTGATCTCCGAGTTGTGCTCAGTTGTGTCTCTGCACATGAACCGTGTTGTTGAGTGTTTTGTGGTTCGGTCGGGCATTGCTCTATAAGTTCAAGTTACGTCAATTGCCGTAAAAGAGGCACGATTGAATTGAGGATATGTATTATACTTGCACCTATATTTTGGTATGGTTGGCATCAGCTGGCGACCACCCAAAGTCGCGTCAATCCAACTCCATGAAAAAGCAAGTAATGATTTTTGCAACTGATTGTTGCGCGTGCAAAAGTGCAGTGGCATTAACGCACTAATGTGGAAAGAATTGGTATTCCAGTCCGAGTGACACGCGCGGTGATGCAGTGCAGTGGCACCAGAATGCTACCGGTTTGCCAGTATGATCGACTTTTGAAACTCGTCCCCGGCGGTGGTCACGCATTATAGTGACGTCAGCATGTTAATAGTGTTCCAGTAGTTGTCCCGCACGGCAGTGTTCCGCTTGTATCGGTTGTCGGCATGACCGGCTTTTTCAGCTCCCGCTCGGCAGCGGTCGCTGCTTGTGCGCTACCAGGATGCATGCATGCATGCAGCGGCGCCGCCATCGTCGCGGCGTCTGAGGGCGGTGGTGTGAAAGGGGGGGGGGGGGGGGGTGGTGAGAGGCGTGACAGGGTCCTGGTGGGGGTTGCGAGGGAGGGTGGAGCGGCGCGGCGTGCGCCGCTGGCCGTCTGACCCCGGCGCGTCCGGCCGCCTCACGCGGCGTGCCGGACGGCCTCGCCGCTCGTCCGCCGCTGTTGCGTCACCGCGCGGCGGGAGATGGACACCGCCGCTGCAGGCCGGCCGCTCGGAGCCTGGATAGCTCTCGCGCCCAGCGGTGGTTTCGTAAAAGAGAGGACACCTGTAGCCCGCTGGAGCAGGTCGTAGCCGGTTGATGGCTGTTTGGATTTATGGCCGGTAGAACTGTCAGTTGGCGTGGTCTTCAGCAGCGGGCAGAATATTCACGTGTTCCTCATGTGTTAGAATGGATGTTGATTTTGCTGTGGCGAATTCTAGAAGTCACGATGGTTACCTGTCGTCAAGACTCGGTCCGGCAGCAGGAGGCCGGACATTTGGCCATTTTTGCGTCGGAAACTACTCAACTTGTTGCACTCGTATACGGACCACTGATGTGCACCGCCATGCCGCGGCCTCTGCTGCACTGAGAGTGCTGCCGATTGTGTGCCGGTGTGGCCGGGCCGGGGGCGTGGCTGCCTCATCGTGCCGCTCCCGCGCTTTGTTCAATGGACTTTCGATCTGCAGAGCTGACCCCGGCCGCCGTCAGAGGTGCGGGCCAGCCCCGTGCACCGGTAGTTACGCCGAGAGCACGGACGAAAGCGGCGCGTAAAAACCGGTCAGGCGGAGCTATTATGGTGCGCGCGAGACCCCCTGCCCGCGCACCAACCACACAGTGGGGCGCTTCGCTGGTGCGCTAGAAATGCGATGCTGTTTGGGCATTCAGCGACGCAAAACACGGTCCGCGGCGCGTCGCGGGTTGTCGCTGGTCGTCCCGGTCGCAAGAGCGCAAGTATTGGCGCGATGTAGAAACAAGAGATAACATCACAAGCGCAACTAGGGGTACGCCCCCCCCCCCCTCCACCCCACCACCTCTAGAGCAGTATTTTCCCGTGCCCCTGGATGACGTAGAAGTAGGCACAATGCCCCGCGTGATGGATTTGTTGAGTAGCAACCACTGAAGCTTGGGAAAGATTGGAGTATTGAAGCGCATATGCTGCGCATTTCGTATCCTTCTGATCTACCACTGTCGATTCACTCGGTGCTTTGGACGACCCAAATTCATTGAATGCCGGAGCCATAAGCGCGTGAAGAAGCAATTAAGCTGATGACCACGTATCACTCTTCACATACCGTGTTGTTGTGATTTAGTACTGTCGATGTGCACTGTGGTAGCAGGCGCTGGATGCCGTCCACCGAGCGGCTTCTTAAACATATCCACCATCAACTGGCTTTGAAGTTGACTGGTTTGTTGCTCACTTTCAGCGCATTCCAAATTAATCTTATTCCTTTAAGATGGGCGGTTGGTGACTTGCCTCGTCAAGTGTCCCGAGCCGTGCCAGTCCTGAGCGGCCCAGTCCCGAGGCGTGTCCCCCGAGGCGTGCCGGTCCGAGGCGTGTCCCCCGAGGCGTGTCCTCTCCCAAGGCGTGCCCAGTCCCGAGGCATGCCGGTCCCGAGGCGTGTCCCGTGCGTGCGAGGCGGTGCCCGGTCCCGGGAACCTGTCCGCCTGAGTGGCCGTGTGGTGCGGCGCGACGCGTCACCGGCGGTGGTCCGCTGACCGGCGCGTCCCGCCATGCCGCAGAGATAGCCGACGGCGTGGTGCCCCGCCACCGCTTCATGTCGGCTACGAGCAGAAGATCGAGCCGCCCGACCGCAAGTGGCAGTACCTGCTGTTCGCCGCCGAGCCGTACGAGACGATCGCCTTCAAGGTGGGTCTAACATCAACAACAATCTAACAACCCTGCGGCGGTTCGCCTGAGGCGGAGTGTGGGGGGGGGGGGGGGGGGGTATGTCGGGATTGTCGTCCGGTTCTAGTCGTGGTACGATGTGAACGATCGCGTGTCTCACAGTCGGTGCTTGAATGGCTTGTGCATTCATGCCTACGCACCCGTCCTTCGAATTGAAAAGGAGAATTGTTTTGTTCCCGGCCGTTGCCGTCCACTGTAACACTCACACAATTTGACGGTGGTTGTAAGGGATGGCAAAAAGGCGCATCTGTTGAGCTGGGAAGCTGGACATGGATGCAGTGTGAAATAAAAATATGTTCCATAATATATGACATATGTCTTCATGATCATTCCAAAAGCGGCCTTGCATGCAAGTGAGCATCGTCGCTTTGTGTCCGTTGCGTGCGTTCTGCCTCATAATGCAGGAGTATCAGGGTTGTGTGGTCGTTTCCTGATCAGTTCATCCCGTCTGGACAGGTTCCCAGCCGCGAGGTGGAGAAAAGCGAGGAGGAGAAGTTCTGGACTCTCTGGAACAAGGACACCAAGCAATTTTTCCTGCAGTTCGCCTACAAGATGGAGCCGAAGCCGGTGCGGGCCGAGGGCCCGCCGCCCACCATCCCGCCACGCCGCGGCCGCACGTGCTGCCGCCGCCGCCGCCGCCGCGACCGCCGATCATGCCTCCGCGTCCGCCGCTCCGTTCGCCGGCGGACGATGGGCCGGCCGCCGGGGCCGCAGACCAGGATGAAGAAGCAGACGGGTGGAAAGCAAGGACGGACGGATCTGAAGGACGGAGAAGAAAGGAAAGACGGCAAAAGAAGGAAACGGCACAGAGCCGCAGACACAGACCGAGGAGAGACGCAGCGATGCTGAGCGGGCGGCCCCCGGCGCCGCCGGGCCTGCCGCCGCCGCCGCCGCCGGCGCCGCCTGGCCTGCCGCCCGCGCCGCCGCCGCCCATGAACCCGGTGCCGCCGCCGCCGCCCAAGCTGTCGGAGCCGGGGGCGCCGCCGCCGCCGCCCAAGATCACGTAGTGGCCGCGTGGTGGCGCGCGGCCGGTGCGGGCCGTGGGCGCCGCCGGGTTCGAGGATATCGCTCATTGGCGATGCCTGACACCGGGTCCGTCGCAGCCAGTGATTCCTCAGCTTTGATCGGATTAAAGCTCTTTTCTCCTCCAAGCGCCGCCGCCGTAGTGGGGATTGGTGTATTCTGTGGCGGTGTAGCTGTCAGGCGGCCGAACCCGTCCGGCTCCGCCTAGGTCGTGACGGCTTGTCGAGTCGTGATGGGGGTGCGTTGCTGCCATCTCCGACCCGTGGTGCCCAGCAGCCAGCCGCCACAGCCTCTCGTGGTCCTCGATGACGAAGGGCGGACCTTGGTGTGTTCGGAGCACCAAGATCTGCCCATGCGGTGCTGCGACGGTGTACCAGCCGGCACTACTTTCTCTACCCATTGTCATCAATACACTACGGATCGCGATTTACCGGGTTTTTGGTTTTGTCCACGGATTTTCTCTGCCCGTTGGGATTATTTTCGTGACAAAGCATTTTACATGGGCATGGGGACGGATGCTACAAAGCAGGCTTTGAAACGAGACGGTGAACCGATCGTGAACTTCCCGTGCATTCTTGTAAAGTCCAGGCGGTGGACCGATTCTTGACTTTTCGTGGGCCTTTTTGCGCATTAGAAGCGCAGAAAGGTTCACGGACGATACACCACTGATAACGGAAGGCTAATTCTGGACTGGTTCGCAGTATTCAGTCGTGGATAAACCTGTAATTTCCGACTCTAACCAGACAGGCGCTCCTTAGCGCCCCAATAATGGTCGGGAAACCAAAAAAAAAGAACCAAATTCTGAGGCAAGCTCATTTGTTGGCGTGGTTTGTGGGTAGGTAGCTTCACGTTAACCGCCAGTTCCTTCAACCCCCCGCTCAAACTCGTTTTACAAAGCCATGCCCCTGACTTGGCTGCATCTATGCATTCGCCGAGCATCGCGACGTGGCATGCAGTCTAGCGCCCCCGGTCCGCGCACGGGGTGTACTATGGAAGAAGAAAAGTACAATAAATGTCTCTTATGCGCCGTTTATGCTGAAAGGCTTGCGACCAAAGTGACCATTACAGTATAGCACGAGAAAAAGTATTCCCTTGGACTTTGTTTGGATGTGGGATGGGCCTGGGAACGTTGCGTCAAAGCATTGAATAATATATTCACGCAGGCCGTAGTGGGCAACACTTATAATTCGCATGACCGTGAGGTCACAAATTTAACACTGCTGGGAACTCCACAGGTGGGTTTTCAGGAGAGGGGGGCCTCAGTGGTGCCAGCGTGCCAAAGGGCGGTATCGGCGGCGCCGGACGCCTCCGCGACATCATTGCGCTGAACCTCGCGTGCGTGTGCGTGGAAGTTAAGCCAGGCTTCATTCCACTAACTTTTCAAACAATTTTTCTTTATAGGATTTTCAGGATATGTGTAAAAATGAAAAGATTCACGCTGCTTTACAAGCTATGCAAGCATGCCGTGCATGGATTGTGTTCCTTAGAGCAGAAAACACTTCATAATCAGAGGACAACAAAAATATATCATCATACCTTGCACATGTAGCAATTCAAACAATCAGAGAACAATGATGTGATGGGTTTGAACTCAGATTGCACAATGCTGACACACCAAATTGTGCTCATCATGACTTCAAGGCTAGCATTTTGGTTGCCCTTTCAAGGGTATACCCTATGAAGGACATCTTAGCATAGGAAAGGTGGCTGATTAAGTGTGGCAATTTTTCATGGTTTACCTGCCTGTAAATGCCTTTTCCATGCATACAGGCATTTTATTTTAGAAGCAGAGCATACATTATGACATTGTATTGCTAGTTTAAAAGAAAATTTGGTGCTCATAATTTTAGGAGGGGTGGAACCTACTCTGCATTTTATCACATCACTTGGCACATGATTTTAGACAGAATGTGTATCTATTACCTGGTAATTGGTTACATTTCCTGAAGAATAGGAAGGTCTTGCTCGGATTATTCATCATGTCATTGTTTGAGCAGGCGTGTCACAAGATGTAGAATAAGTTAAGCACACTTAATGAAAAATGATATCAAGGCACTGTGCAGTGCAGAACAGCTCCTGGCCACTCAGTTCAGGTTCAAGGAGACCTTGAACAGCTTGTGTGGATGTTTGATGTCCCATCTGAAGAGACAGCTGGTGTGCAAACCACAGGGGAGGCTTCACATGCCACTGCTGCATGCTGCACGCCTGTCTGGTGATGTCACAGTATTACCAGCACCTCTTTGTGCTTTTGTCATGATCACTTTGAACAAAAACACTAAGATGGAACAGCCAGCACTGTTGCACTGACACTGTTTGGGGTGCCAGTGCAGCTTGAGATGGTAATTCTGCAGGAGGATGTGGCTGTGAGTGACTGAGCAGCACTTTGGGTGCACTGGCCTGCACTGCAAGGACATTGTTCATCAGCAGATAGTTGAGTTGCGTCAGTCATCGCTGCAGCCAGCACTGCTTGTGCATTTAAAATATCACAGACATGGCATGTTTTCTACAAGAGCAGTGGAAGAAGGTTTCTGGGAGAAACCTTCAGTCATCAGCCACCTCAGGGCCAGTCACAATGAAGGTGTTGGTGAAGACTGCTCGAGCTACAGAGGTTTTTTGCTGCCTGGACAGGGAACCTGGTCGGCCCCAGTGGCGGAAACCAGACATGGGCATGACCACTGAACTTGGCCGCCGCCGGTTGGCAGCACGGCCTCGGCACACTCAACTGTCTGCCCATGTCTGCCCTAGACAGGCGCCACAAGAAGTCATGGCTATTGAGCTGGTTGCCCACCATACCGCCTCAGCCACCGCTTCCTGCGCGACTTTGCGTCTGCCTCTCTGTGGGGAGATCGCTTGTGCATGTGTTGCTAGTCACTGCCACCAAACAATGTGTCCAATAAGTACCAAAACCCCATTCAGGTACCACAGCAGTGTGCAGCCATTTCAGCCATGGGTGCAACTGTTCTTTGACCGCGTTCTGTGCCCTGTGTGTGAGAGAGGCTGGTCGCTGTGACCATGCTTCCTTGGTATTGCTGTGCCCAGGACATGATACAGTATTGGTGACAGTATTGGCCATGTGACTTTAGTTTCCTCAGGCTACAGCTGTCAATGGGGTTAAGGTAGCCTCCTGCAGGCATACATATGAGCATGAAGTTTCTGTCACATGTGCTGAGAAGTATGTTCAGGAAGACCTTGTCCTTTTCAGAAAATGTCTACTCGTCTGTATCCACTGTACCAGCGAGGTAATCCGCAATTGCGGATATTCCTTCCAAACTTCTGGATGAAGTTGATACGTCCAAAGCACAAAATCCCATCAAATGCTGTTCAGTTCATTGTGTCACCTGAGATGACCAAACTTGATGTCAAGCAATACCTGGAGAAGATATACAATGTACCTGTGGTCCAAGTCAGCATCTCTAACAGACTAGGTATGGAAAGTGGTAGCTGAAGTTAAGTGGCTGATGATTTCCCATCATTAGCACTCCTGCATTGAACCAATGGTTAAGGAGCACTGAAAACTGTTATAAACTTGGTGTCAGATGCTTTCATTATCTTCTGCCATTCATGAAATTTATCATAGCTGTCAGCTGATTTATGCATGTCAGGTTCCTTCATGCAGTGTTAAAGTGAATTGTGTGATGCAGGAACACCAATGTTGTTTGTGATGTTTCTAATTTGGCATCGTTTTCCCCAGGTCAATTTCGCAAATTGGAGGGAAAGGGATACATAGTCAAGGATGATGACATTAAATATGCCTTTGTCACCTTGGTGAGTAGTACCAGCAGTCATCAATCCATTGGATGACAGCTGGTCAGCCTGGTTCTGTTCTAGGGTGATTATACCAAAGCAAAAAATGTCATTTTCTATCGGAGTAATTCAAGCTGTTCATGATTGTGTTAATGATCGGTCTGAATGTAATATGGCATGTGTTAAACTGCATAATAAAGCACATTATGAGGTACCATTGCACACAAGAGGTGAAACATTAATGTGATGTCTGTGTTTTGCATATGCAGAGCTTGCGCTTGGCTGGTCAGAACAGATCTGGTGTACAAGTGTCTCACACTGTATAGATATGCATATTGTTGTGGGAAGTTTTGCTTTTAATTGACATTCCATATTGTGTTTTGTGCGTGTTCCCCATGTATTGTCCACGTTTTCATGCCACTTCGGACAGATGTGCTGGAAAGCTGGCGTGGTTTGAGATAAGCCCAGGGGTGGTGGTAGTTGTCAGATTTCTTAGCGGTTGTACACCGTATGTGCTGTTTTCAGCCAAAGGACATGGTATTTGAGTTTCCGAATCTGCTGCCCGAGGAGAAGCAGAAGGAGCTGTCGGACCAGATGAAGGAGATCGAGCTTGCGAGGGATACGTACAAGAAGGACCAGGAACGCTTCAAAGACAGGCCCGGTGTGCCCACCTGGTTCAACTAGTCCGCCGTCTGTCCGGCTTCATGTGCGCTGACTTTGGATGGGAGGTGTGCGAGAGTCGCGTCGACCGCGCTCATTAGCCAGGTGACAGATGAATACGTGAGGAACATGTACTGTATGCTGCCCCTTTTGACTGTAGACCTGTTGCCCAGCGGACGTCGAGTCGTCTACAGTCATGTGACCACTCGTGATTGTTTCGTCGCCTTGGCGCCTGTTATCATGCTCATTTTTATGGAAGATGATAGCGACATTTCAGGTGCTCTAGACTCTCCTTTTGAAAAGCTAGACTGAAGTGAAACGCGCCCAGCAAAAAACGGAACGCTCCAGCACCATGTCTCATTATATTTGTCTGGTAACACACCATTCGTTATCACAGGACCACTAACGACCAAGCACCCACCAAGCGTCCCATAACATGCATTGCACCGCCTTGTCGGTCCACGGCGACCGGCGATGGTCGCGCGCGGGACACCCACCCCAGGCACGAGTCTACGACAAAGTACCGGGCAGAGAGATGGCGCGGCCGGGACACAGCTGGGCCAGCAGTTAAACCGCCGAGGACGTGTCTGTATCACTTATGGACTGGGGCCGCTACGACTGGCAGAGTGACGAGAATCGTTTGACTGAACTGAGGTCCTGCGCTCTGGAAGCCAATACTGGATTGGAAAGCAAATGAAATCGTATCTTCAGGAGACGTTACTCATCTGCAACAACTGGTCGTATCGGTCCCCCCATTACCAGGCCCTTGTAAACAACGCAGCCCACGGTGAGCGATACTCGGGCCGTTTTGAACTGTTGCGGGCGCACCCACGCGCAAATCTCGGTGGCTCTCTGCTCCTCACGCAGACGAACAGCCCCCGACCGGTGGTCCTGCCGTCGACCTCGTCACACGAGGACGTCTTGAGACCAGCCGTGGAGGGGTGGCGCCGAGCCGCGCCCTATCCTCGCGCACTGCCGGCGACCACGGCCGCTCACATGCCGTTGTAGGAGGGGCCGCCGCCGCCCTCGGGCGTCACCCAGTTGATGTTCTGGCTGGGGTCTTTGATGTCGCACGTCTTGCAGTGGATGCAGTTCTGGGCGTTGATCTGGAGCCGCTGGCCCTGCTCGTCCTCGGTCGGCACGTACTCGTACACGCCTGCGAAGGCGAACGGCGGCCCGGTCTCAGCGCGAGTGGCGCAGCAGGCCACGCCCGCACGCCGGCTGCACGCGCAAAGCGCACCGCTATTCGATTTCTGTGGCCGAACGGGAAGGACTGGGATATTGGCTGATTTTGTTTCCGTGCTGTTCTGGGCTCATAGGGTAACGGCACCCACAAAACCACTATCAAATGTGACAAAACAAGGACGGCAACGCTACATGAGTCGACCGGCCGGCGCTGGAGCGCGGGGACGGCTCACCCCTGATCTCACCTGCCGGGCAGAAGCGGCCCTCGGGGCCGTCGAACACGCTCAGGTTCTGCTTCACCGGCACCGCGTCGTCTCGCAGCGTCAGGTGCGGCGGCTGGTCACCCTCGTGGTTGGTGCCTGGCGACCGGCGGCGTCGCGTCACGTCACGTCGTGTCACGTTACGGGACGGGCCACAGGTAAAACCCGACCGCCTTGACCAGAGCTGGGAGGGGGAAGGCGTGGGCCAATACGGCGGCCATGCTGTCCTCACCTGTCAGAGCCACCGAGCCGAGCAGATCGAAGCTGAGCTTGCCGTCCGGCTTCGGGTACTCGATCTGCTGGCACTCCTGCGCCGGCTTCAGCAAGGCGTAGTCGGCGCCTGCGCAGCCCAGGGTGGAGTCAGCCGGAGGGGTGCCGCAGCGCGAGGCCGAACCCGCCCACACCCTCCGCGGCCCGATGATCGGCGCTGCGGACAGAGCGCCGCCGGCCGGGCCCTCCCGGTGGCAGCACCGATAGCTCTGGCCGCACGGCCCGTGATTCTCGCACCGCCGGCTGGCCAATACGCCTCATTAACAGAAAATACCGTGTCAGCCCGGCACTCACCCATCCATCCACGTACAGGCGCCACCTACCGGGGTGTTTGAGCGTCCACGGTTCCTTGCCGCGGCCGAGGACGTAGAAGAGTCCAGTGTACGCCAGGCCGCCGTACAGGCCGAGCGGTGAGTGGAACGAGGGCCTGACGTTGCGGACCGACACCAGCTCCTGCCAGACCCGTGAACTGCGGATTCGCTCTTCGTAACTGACCGGGTTCACACCTGCCGCACACACAGTGGCGCCAGGTCAGAGGGCGGACGGCGCTGCGACGCCGCGTGACCCACTGCAGGTGAAGAGTTGCGTGACATGTGCGGGAATGGGGAGGGTACAACAGGCCTCAGTAACCATTGACAACAGGTTAGGTTAGGTTAGGTTAGGCGTGGATGACCCGGGTCACCTTCTCACAGGCCGTGAGCGGGTGTCTTCATGAGCGAGCGTGCGCTGCCAACGCAAACTGCACGCTCAAAGCCCGTTCGATATCGCCTGCGATTCACGATCCGCAATCTACTCCCAAACTCGCCTGCGGCGGCGCCGTCGGCTCACCTTCGGTCTCCGTGTCGCCCGCCTGGATGGCGTCGAACACGCTCTCCGCAGCGATCATGGCGCTCTTCATGGCGTTGTGCGTGCCCTTGATCTTGGGCACGTTCATGAAGCCGGCGCTGCAGCCGACCAGGCAGCCGCCGGGGAACGTCAGCTTCGGTACGCTTTGCAGGCCGCCCTCGTTCAGGGCGCGTGCGCCGTACCCGATCCTGCCGCCGGCACAGGCCACGTCACCATGTCAGCGGGCTAAGACGGCCAGCGGTGTGGGCATCAGGCCATCAGATCACGGCGAGATGCGAACAGGAGGTACCGGTGTCCGTG